CGATGTGATGTTCAAGCCCACGAAGGCTGCCGAATACAGGTTCCGCCCCACCGCCGAGGAGGCCATGTCCTACTTTGTGGGTGGAAATGTTGTCGAGGGTGGCTACAAGGAGGACGGCGGTTTCGCAATCAACGGTGGCAAGGGCTGGGCTTCGTGTGTGTACAACAACCACCAGGTGCAGCTCAAGGGTGGCGTTGGCCTTGCCATGGGCACCTATGACTTCACTTGCGCCACCACTGGCAGCGTTTCCACTGTGGAGTACACGTTTGGGTATGCCCGCTGCGACGACGGGAAGGTACGCATCTTCCTTCACCATTCCTCGGTTCCCTTTGCTGCAGCTGCAGCTCCCACCACCAAGTCTGCGGCTGAGAAGTCTGCTGGGGCCGAGGTGAGCGCTAAACTGGCTGGCGCATGAAGACGCAGGCTGAGCAGGCCTGCCTATCTTGATATTATTTTGGAGTGCAACTACTTGGCGCCGTCGAACCGTCAAGTTTTAAGCCAAATTAGCGCACATGGATGTGCAATGCGCATCAGAAGATTTTCCACGTGATTTAAGAAGCGAGAGATCATAAGTACCTAGCCCACCAGTGGCGGGTGTGATTGTGCACGACGTTTTCCCTTGGCCTGGTCCGTAACAGACTTCATCGGCCTCATTCTTGCTGCCCTAAGCAGGCAGCGATTATTGGAGCATGTCAGAACGCATCTTGCTGTCTTATACTGGTAGTAAATGGAAGCTGGTAATCTTCTTGCTTCGTGTGAGATGGCAGCGTTGTGGCAGTACAGAGACACATCAGCAAGGACGAGAACTTGAGCAAAGATCTGCTGCTAGATGCCGAACGAAAACCCCTGAGCCATACAGCCATACTGGCTTCACCGCACTCCCTTACTCGGAGGTTCATGGGTAGTTATAAGTGGGGTTCTATTTCCCCTATATTGGGTCATAAGTATAGTTACCCTACTTATAACCCTACTGATAACTACCCATGAAGCTCCAAATAACGCGAAACTGAAGCCAAGGCCATGGCAACAGTGGGAGACCTGCCGCGCGAGCGACCGGCCACTGCAGACCTGGGATGCAGCAAAGAACTGAGCAGCCTGGGAGTTTCTGCAGGGCTGTTTCTTACCTTTGGTTAGTAGGGAATGGAAGAATGGGGTCTATAAGGGTTACTATAAGGGATCTATAAGGGTACTGTAATATAGGGGTTTTAGTAATCCTATACCTTACCTTTGGTTCGTAGGGAATGGCAGAATGGTAGTAATAGAAGTTATAATTGTACCCATTCCTCCGTTCCCTACTAACCAAAGGTAAGTTTTAGCTAATGAGAGTTGTTGAATCCCAAAGGGATTCGACCTAAGCTTCAGAGTCCAAAGAGCTGACTCCTTCAAAAAGGTCTCTGCGACATTTCGAGAAAGATGAGCTCCCCTCTTGTTTCCAAGGGCAAGAGCAGGGACCCTTCATGGGGACCCCTACCCTACAATTGACCATATAATGGGTATATAATTGCTATATTAAGGTTCTGTACCTAGGGGTCCTTATTAAGGGCTCCTCCTTTTACCCTTTGATTGTTTGGGAAGCCCGTGGAGGCAGCCCCGGCTAGCGGCAGCAGGCTTCGGCAGAGGCTTCCGAGCCAGTGCCGTGTGCCTCCTGGCTCTCTGGGTCCAGGGCCTTGGAGATTTTTTGCCCTAAACCCTAAACCCTAAACCCTCAAGATCCTGGCACCAGTGCTCGTAAGGCCCTCGGAGTTCTCTGCATGCGCTACATCACGGGAGCTCATTCCATAGCGGGTGGCCCAGACAGTGCAAGTGCAAGGGGCAGGAGAGAGCGACTTCCGAAGCAGCCTTTGTTTCGTGGGCCAACTTTGTGTCCGCCTCTCTCCCTCTCTCATCTAAGCTTCTTAAGAGGTGCAGCTCCTCGTGGGCGCAGCCTCCGGAATTGCGGCCAGTGGCGTTTGGTCGAATCTTGAGGCCTGGCGGTTCAAAAGAAGGATGAAACAGGTGAATCGGGCCGACAGCGGCCAGCGGAGCATGTCCGTTTGTCTATCTGTCTGCATGTCTGTACATGTCCGTACGTCTGTACGCAGGCATGTATGTATGAGCATGTGTACGCATGTTCGCAGGTGTGGATACATGCGTGTACGCATGCGGGTATGCATGCATGTGCTTATGCATGTGTGCTTGTTTTTGGTATGTACACCTATGGTTGGTACGCATGTGTGAGTAGGTGTATGTGTGTGTGTACGTGTGTATGTATGTATGTGCAGGCGAGAAATTTGAAGGCTTTCACGGGCGCTTGAATGTTGAATACTGCCCTCTTCTTGCTTTCCCAAGCGCTCCACAGGGGTCCTCGGAAGGTCGACCTCGAAAGAAGGATCATGAGGACAGTACTGATATAAGTATATGTATGTGTATATACATATATATATATATACACATATGTGTATGTACCTATAAGTACTTGAATGTACCTATATGCATTAGTACTTTCGGTGTAGATGTTCAACCACCTGCAGTACGCTTAGTAGATGTCGTAGGCCGTAGGAGGGAGATTTACGTTCGGTATCTGGCGGCCTCCGCATCAGGCAGGTCCACTGGCAAACACTATGGTGGCAACCCAGTGTTTCGCGGATTCTACTCGCCGTTGCGTCTGCGCCCCACCACTTGCTTTCTTGTTTGCTTCTTGGGGCTGCTCGTCTTGAAGCACGTGCGTGACTTGTAGGTGGCTGCTCTTTACGGCTTCTGAACCATCTCAAGGTCTTTGGCAAGGTGCGGACACACGGGAGTCGTATGGTTCCGAGAGCAAGCTGGAGATCAGGTTCCGGCAAGCTGCTGGACCGATTCGCAAAACCAGCAAGGGGGACTCACGGAGCCGATTCGGAAAATGGAAGGCATGTTTAGGGTTTGGGGGTCCAGAGTCATGGGTTTAGGGTTCTGGGTCTTGGGCTGTTGCTGCCAGAGTTTTGTGCAACTTGGTTCTCGCGCGTTTCGGCTAATTTGGGGTCTGGTCCCGGTATATTTTCAGAAACTGGCCAACAAAATTCTAAACCCTATATTTATTCTGCCGACCTTAACTGCTCGGTGGAAAACGGTGCCAACAAAAACTTAAACCGTGAATGGCAAAGAAATGGCGAACGACCAAGATCTCCACCGTTTGGAGGTTCAAGGGGTAGTTATAAGGGTTCCTTTAAGGGCTCTATGGGGTTTAGGGTTATAGGGTATAGGATTATAGGGTTTAGGGTTTAGGAGTAGTTATAAGTCGGGTTATAAGTAGGTAACTATACCTACAACCCATATTAGGGGACTTATAGCCCCACGTGTAGCTACCCTAAACCCTAAATCCTATAGATCCCTTAAAGGAACTCTTAAAGGAACCCCTATGACCCCTCTTAGAACTACCCATGAACCTCCAAGCACTGTTTGGAGGTGGGCTCGACTCACGGCGCCTGCCGGCTCCCGAATTGCTCGGGCGACGGCGACGGTTCGGGCTCCCGGCGTCATGTGGATGGTCGTCAAAATTATGGTCCCTTTTTGGGTGCCCTAAATATTAGGTGCCGTATTATATTAAGGACCCCAAAAGGGACCCTAATATTGACAACTACCCATGTGGTAGCTGACATAATCATGTACGGCAAGATAGTAGTGCGTAGTGGCGTATATGATGATACTCGTATGTAATATATCATAATGTATAGTAACACTTTATCATAATCTAAGACGTTTCGTAATATACACTAGTAGCATATCGGAATACCTGTAGCAGTACATGAGAGTATTTAGCACTTTATAGCAATGAATATCAAAATGTAATCATTCGCAAAAAATGAGGCAGTTTGTTCAATATACCATAGGTATTCAGTACATATATATATATATATATAGTACCACGCATATTGAATCTGTTTGTGAGTCTGCCAAAATCGTTTGTTGTTCCTGCCGTCTTACGCGCTCGATCTTGCTCAGGCTTTCAGAAGGACGGGATTCCAGCAAGAAGCTCGTCAAGGTGCCACATGAAACAGAGAAGATGGAGTGTTACAGCGTGATGGTAGCGGGCAGGTCGGCAGACTCAGCGGCTAGTCTCCATGGCCACGATGAGTGACTGGAAGATCCGAGCGAGACGCTCTACCTGGAGGTGTGCGCGTCGCTGATGTTCTCATTCAGTTCAGGTTGTGGATGCGTAGCCAGGGGCCATGTGGACAGGTGGAAGGTACGTATGTGCCATGCTGAATGCTGTCCGCATGGGTTTCCCTGGTGAGATCCCCGGATGGGGAAACAACAGGCTTACATGATTCGTGCCAAAAAACGCTTGCGGATGGGGCTATGTGGATCACGAAAGCTTGCTGTGTCCATTCCTCACCATGTCCTTGGCCAAACCGCCTTTGTTTTTTCATGCGCCATAGCAATGGTCTCCCTCATAGAGCAGGCATGCTTCCCTGCCTTTCAAAGCGTTACGCTCCGTGTTGGGCACAACGTGACAGCTCACCGTTTTTTCGCTCCGGCCTTGCTTTGGGCCCCGAGCTGTCGAGGCTTTCGTAGCCCCCTTTGAAGTAGCTGACATGTATTTGGAGGTTCATGAGTAGTTATTGTAAGAGGAGTTATAAGTCCCCGAACATGGGTTATAAGTATAGTTACCTTACTTATACCTCCTACTAAAACCTACCCATGAACCTCCAAGTATGGAGCCAACATCCCAGAGATGTCTGATGGAGTTAGGGCCGCTAACATGCACTGAGTGATAGGAGCTTAGAAATCAGAGCATGAAGAAGCAAAGAGCAGCCTCAGGTCCAGAGCATGTGTTGGGCGTAGTCTGTAGCCATGCCCCTTTGAGCCAACTTTGAACTATCCGGGAATCAGCATGGCTTGGCCAAGAACACGAGCTTGCAAGTATGTCGAGAGTGTAAAGGGCCCTAGATACTTCTAGCACTTTGACGGAAACTGCTCCGAACAGCCATCGACCGACGCTCCAACACCTTCTGCCCACCTGCATTGCGCTTCGCATAGCAGCCATGGCGGCATCCGAGCCCTCGAAAGAGCCCGAGAAGGAGGATCTGTGCCAACACTCTCAAAACCCGTGAGCTGCAAACCTGCCCCTAAACCCTAAACCCTAAACCCTAAACTGCAGGAGCCTCCAGCGCCCTCGCGAAAGGGTCGGAAGGTCAAGGACCCTGAGGCCCTGGCCATGAACTCATAATTGAGATGTTATTAGTCTTATGTTACGATTCCTCTTCTTGTCATTTATGTTATTAGTCTTATGTTACGATGGCTCTTCTTGTCATTTCTAGTTGTATAAAAACATGTTGATTACTATTTCTAATCTTGTTAAAATTATTGATTTCGGCCCCTTGAAGGTGCCATGGCGATGAGTTCAATTGCCTTTTGCCCCCCCTGCTTTCGGGCCCCAGGCGAAGCGTGAAACAGCGACTCTTAATAAGGACCCCTCGGAATGTAGCCGTAGTATATTATAGGTGTTGTACACCCAGAATATGGGCCGTTATACGGTAGGGATCCCCATTAAGAGCCCCCCCAAACCCTAAACCCTAAATCTTAAACCTTAAATCTTAAACACTAAGCCCGAAACCCCAAACTCGAAACCCTAAAGCCCAAACCCCAAACCCCAAACCCGAAACCCTAAACCCTAAAACCCAAACCCTAAACCCCTGAACCCCTAAAGCCCTAAACCCCTAAACCCTCCTTTGGTCCCTTGGGCCCTGAGGCGAAGAGGGAAGCAGCAACTCTTAATAAGGACACTCAGGCATATAACCTTAATATGGCTATTCAGTATCTACCCAGTATACACGCCGTCAGAGGGCAGTGCCTAAGGGTCCCTCCTTGTGCCCCGCTTCTTAGCCAGGCGAAGAGGGAAGCAGCCACTCTGAGGATGCTGAAGAAGATGGATCGGGAGGCCCTGGCCGTTAAGGAGAGGCTCAGCCGGAGCTCTGGGTGGGATCAGGGGTCCAGGGATCCCATTTAAGGTTTGAGAATTTGGGGTTGAGAATTTAGGGTTGCGAATTTAGGGTTTAGAGTTTAGGGTCCAGAGTTTATGGTGTAGGGTTTAGGGTTTAGGGATCCTCCCGCCGCCCGGTTTCAGGAGACGGCGAAGCCTGCGAAGGCAGAGAAGCCAGCAGACAAGGCCTTTCGTCCACTTTCCGATGTGGGAAGGCTCAAGATGGGTACTCGGAGGTTCATGGGTAGTTATGAGTGGGCTTATAAGTCCCCTAATATGGGTTATAAGTATAGTTGCCCTACTTATAACCCTACTTATAATCCCATAAACCTCCAAATAATGAGCTAAGTCTCGATCCTTTGTCAGGGCCGAAGTCACGCTGCTTTATAAGCTAGACCATGTTCAGGCCCTTGTAGGGGTTCTCAGGTGCAGTCCTGCAGCCTCCTGCATGTCGGGCTGATTTTCTGCTGTTCTTTATCATGACATTTCGTTACAGGGTTTGGGGCATAGTATACTCTGAATGTCTAGGAGAGCATTCATGACATCTGCCTCGTGAAGCAGGTCGTGAGGTGCCACTGTCCATGTGTGCTCGGCTCGCGAGTTAGCTGCAAGTAGCAGCACCTACCACGGCTACATGGTCACACAGAAAGTGCCAAGCCCAGAAGTTTTGCCGGAACTACCGAACTTAACAGGCTCTTAGGTCTCTTCGTCACTGACACTGCAAGGAAACAGAGGCCCCGACGAGAATGCATGGGGGCACAGCCGGGCACCTGAGCACAGAGGCTATGCCCGACCAGCCTACCAGACATATCCCGACTACCATCCTTACCCTACTTGGAGGTTCATGAGTAGTTATAAGTAGGGTTATAAGTAGGGTAACTATACTTGTAACCCATATTCAGGGACTTAGAACCCGCTTATAACTACCCACGGACCTCCAAGTAGGGTAGGCTCTTTCGATAGTCTTGCGACACAGTCCCACACTTCGCTTCTGCCATGGCGGGCGCCACCACCCGAAAGGAGGCGCGAGCGAACCTTGCGGCAGCACACAGGGCCGTAGACGAGTTGTTGTTTGGATTATCTTACTTTTGGTCAATAGGGAATGGAGGAATGGGGTACAATTATAGCTACTATTACTACCATTCTTCCATCCCCTACTAACCAAAGGTAAGTAATGTTGAACTGCAGGATGACATCCCGACGGCTGGCATTGATGTGACGAGGCGAGGGGAGGAGGCCAGACTTTCTGAAGCTCAGATGTCCCGCTCTGCCAGGATGTCTGTTAGACAACTGAAGGCTGAGTTAGCCGCGCCCGCCCCGGATCCTCACAGAATCTGCTCCTTGGCGCGGCAGTGCAGCATGTTGCGAGGCGAGAGACGTCGACATATCGCATTGTCGAGATAGGTCAGAGCTACTGGTTCTGCTTCGCCTGTGCCTTTGCTCTGGGGGTGTAACGGTATATCTGTGTCCGGCCGGTCATGAGTGTTCCGGCCGAGGCAAAGCACGAACAGCTGGGCCGGGGGCAAATTTTCAAGCTCATGGACTGATGGCTTAAGGCTGGTCAGACACGGTTTCGTGCCACAGGCCTTGGGACAGCGGAAGTTTTGCAAGACGGAAGACCGACAATACCTACTTTTGGGTAGAGCTCGGGCACCAAGTTACGTGAGGAAGTCTGTTTTCTGCCAGGGCGAACAGCGTGATTTTTTTGCCTAGTGTGCAAGGCTGGTGGATGGTATGACAGCCGTGTGCCACTACGGCGAAGGGACTACCGGGATCGTCAACGTGAACGAGCACGGACCTTTCACTGAGTTTGTGTCGGTTGCCAGCGTAAGACTTACCTTTGGTTAGTAGGGAATGGAAGAATGGTAGTAGTAGTAGTAGTAGTAGTAGTAGTAGTAGTAGTAGTAGTAGTAGTAGTAGTAGTAGTAGTAGTATTGTACCCCATTCCTCCATTCCCTACTACCCTAAACCCCAAACCCTTCTACCCTAAACCCTAAACCCCCCATTCTTCCATTCCCTACTACTCCCAGGTTGGAACCCATCTCCGCCCACGAGCTGCCATGCCCAGATCGTCCTCCTGACTCGCTTCTGGTGGCCAGGAAGTCACATGAGGACAATGCCGGGTTGTGCCCTCCATGAAACCCCTAAACCCCTCAAATCCTAAAGCCCTAAACCCCTAAAGCCCTAAATTACTAAACCCTAAACCCCTAAAGCCCTAAACCCTAAACCCCCTAGAGCCCTACTTGCTGCCATGTGCCAGGCTTCGCCGGAAGCTTCGAAGCCGCTCGGGCCGAGGCGTTCTTGAAGTCCAAGCTGCCCGGGAGCTCAGCTGCCAAGCGTCCGGGTGATTTGCAGGGTTTAGGGTTTTAGGATTTTAGGGGTTTAGGGTTTAGGGGTTTAGGGTTTAGGGCATAGGGTTTAGGGTTTAGGAGTCTCCTTAGGAACTATTTTTGTTCATATGGGTGGCTGTCAAAATTAGGGTCCCTTTTTGGGTACTCTAAATATTAGGTATAATAGGGACCCAAAAAGGGACCATAATTTTGACAACCACCCATATAAAACCCGAGAGAACACTATTAACAATATCATGTTTATTGTGGTTCCAAGGGGGGCTTAGTTGTGAGTTTCCTAAACCCGAACCTGTCCACAGTCCTTCAGCTACCCACTACACAAGTCATAAAGGCTGTAAACTCTGAAGAGGGCCTAAGCTCAAGGCCCTACTTGGAGGGTCGGGGGACTTAGTAAGTAGGTAGTAAGTGGACTTATAAGTACCCTAAAAGGGACCCTAATTGGGGTTATGGTACTTATAAGTCCCTAAAATAACCAGTTACTAAGTCCCCCGACCCTCCAAGTAAGCCCCAGCTGAGGCTGGTTGTTTCCATCGTTTCCGGCAGAGTGGACGCCCCAGCTCGGTTTGAAGGCCACCTCCAAATGATTAGCGTCCTATGGGAGTTTCCGAAAATAGGGGACCCTAATATAGTACCCTAAATAGTGGGATCCTTATTTCAAGGACCCCCCAAAACAGGTACCCCTAATTTCGGAAACTCCCCTATAAGTTTAGGGGTTTAGGGTTTAGGGGCCTTCGGGTTCAGGTTTCAGGGTTCAGGCTTTGTTTCTGGTTAGTTGCAGGCTTCGGCCACCATGAAGGTTTCAGGTAGGGCTACGTGGCCACATCTGCCCAAGATGCTCGGCGTCCGACCAAGGGCAAGCCGGTGAGAGAGGAGGCGATGCAGTACATGGCCCGGCCCTAACGACTCCCTTCGCAGAGACTCCAATATCCCTTAATTAAGGAATATACCTTAAATCATACTAGGGATCCTACTATAATTTAGGGTATACTCCTTAATTAAGGGATATTGGAGGCTCTTGGTTCCAGTCCTGCTCAGTTGGTTCACATATCCAGGCCCTTGCCTCACAAGAAGTGCGGGTGATGCTCGGTGAGAACGCGGTACTGCAGCCTGAGTTTCATCCCCTGACCCGCTCCCTTGGGCTCCGAAGCCATGAAGCGAGCTGTCATGGGTGGCAGGTTTTCTGGCGTGGAAAGCCCACGGAACTGAAGGACACCCAGTTTCGGCAGTCTGCGCCTCATTGCGCGCCGTAGCCCAAAAAACAGATGCACCCGTCTCGTGCCCTTCTCAGGTTGGCTCCCGTTGACATGCTGCCATCGCTGGCAATAGCCGTCCCTCTCGCAGCCGACGCCGGCTCCTCGGTTTCCGTCCTCCCAAAGGGCCATGACTTTTACACTGCGTCGAGGCCATGACGGTGATCTTGGCGATACCCGGCGCGATAAGTAGGCCCCTGAGGATGTTCAGTTTGGAAGGGAGATTCACCGGCCAGTTGGAGCAAGTTGAAACCAGCCAATCGCCGAGGTCGTTCTCAGGCCAACCGTCGTTGCCCGCTGTGCTGCTTTGCATCGTATCGTCTTCTGTTGAGCTTTACTCCTCAAGTGCTGCAATACTATATATATATATATATAGATACGACTGTACATCATATATAATATACTGAACCATATATGTATACAGACACTATAGTACATCATATAAAAGCTGTACTGAACCATGTATATATATATATGTATATACAGATACTATAGTACATAATATGTAGTATACTGAAACTCGCTTGCAGACGCTGGACAGCATTCTCGAGGGCCTGGAAGCCATGGAGGTTCATCGACAGGCGACCGAACTCCGAGAGTCCAGCGGTGTCTTCTAAAGTAGGGGTAATGTAGGAAGCTTAAAAGGGGATCTGTATAGGGGATACTATAAGGGTGCTGTGATATAGGGGCCTTATAGGGTGTTGGGGCATATTATACGTATATAATAGGAACCTGGTTAAGAAACCTTGGGCCTTTACTAGGGTTCCTTATATGAACCCTAGTATTTTGGGGGTTATAGGCCCAGAGTTTCTTAATCAGGTTCCTACATTACCCTCGAAACAGGGGTCCCTACAGTAAAGCTCGTACTCTTTGGGGTTTAGGGTTTATGTTAGGGCTATCAGGGCCTCCCAGTTCACTTATTTTCTGAAATAGGGTTTAGGGTTTAGGGGTTTAGGGTTTAGGGTTTAGGGGTTTAGGGTTTATGAAACTCCAGGTGATGCTAGCGCGCCAGAACGACGAGGATGTCCAGCTGCGACAAGCCTTGGTCCCAGTAAGCCATGCGGCCTTGGGCACCTGAAGCCCAAAATGCTAATCTGCTGCAGTGTGGTCTTCTGACTCAACGCAGGAGGGAACAGGCCCGCAAGCAAAAGTAAAGCAGCGGGTTTCCGGCTTAGGTCTCATACTGCTGCCAGATTTTCCTGCCATGAGCTGGGTCGCGAGGTACTGGTACCCAAAGCCTCGCAAAGGTTCCACCTTGCCAACATCAAGAAGGAAGAAAACGAAGCCACACACTGAAGCCCTAGAGCGAGTGAGTTTCACGACCCATGGTGCAACACTTTGTATTATTTCGTTCTAGTTTGCTGTCGACGCCCCATAGGCGCAGCGCGCTCAACTCAGCATCGTGAATGCAACCCCGCGCTTAGCAAAACAAACAGGTTGCAGACAGGCGGTGCAAGTGGACTCTTTTCTAGTAATTAACTTTCCGGTCGTCTAGATTTGGTCTTTGCACTCTTTCTTCATCTGTCTGTTCTGTTGAAGGCATGGTCCGTGCTTTTGTTCTTTTTCGCATATATTACAAGTCTCC